AAGCATAAACCTTTTTGATGATATTAAGTCTTTTTCTATTTCGTGATGAATTTAAAACGTAGAGTATCAATTTGCATTAGTTCCAACATTGATGAATAAGTTTTTGAAATTTAAAAGCTGCCATCATTACTTGGCTTATTCTACTTCAACCAAGTTTTTATTCTTAACGCCTTTTAAATAATCAATTACCACATAGAATGGCTTCAGCAATAAATTATTTCAAAGATTTTGCTTTTGGCATTGTCATTAATACATCTTTGCTATTATCTTTTAATCTATACTAAAATTGATTGATAAGGGCTTTATCATTCTACTCCATATTGCAAGAAAGGTTTTGGAATTTAGTAGCATATATGGTGATTAATTGTGATCTTTCTTATAAAAATAAGAATTTGGTTTCTATTACTTTTTTTATTACTTTATCTAAATATGGCCATAAATACTTGTAAGAATGAATTTAAAACATAAAAAAAACTTAAATCATTTTTTTTATCAAAGGTAGATATTAAGAGAGAGCAGTTTGAGATACAAGTATGTCTATGAAGCTGACTTGAGTAAATTCATTAGAATATTAGAAGAGATGCAATCTTAGTTAGAACTTAACTTATTGCAAAAATCCTTGAAATTTTGATCTTCTTCTATCAAACTTCTTTGGCATAATAATCTTTCTTCTTATTGTACTTGTAGAAATAAAACTTTATAGATTTGGTTGTGAGGTTGATTTACTTGCTTCTTTCAGTTACATAATTCCTTGATATAGATTTTAAATTTCTTTTATAGGTATAAGATTAGTATTTTTGTAATTGACGTTGGTGATGTGTGACATTTCTACTCTAAGAGTATTAACAAATTTGTGAAGATTAGCAATAGTTACAAATCTATTCTTATTTTTTTCAAGTATAGCATCTATGATTTTTTCTTTCATTTTAAATAACTTAAAAAATTCTACAATTCAATTTAAAAGAAGGTTATTTGCAACCTCTAATATCCAATAAAAATTTCTACAAAAAGAGGTAATCCAATCTTTTTTTAAAAAAATATAATGTTAAAAAATTAAATAGTTTGTTTAAAGATGGATAATTTGCAACCTTCAAACTACAACAATAGAAGTAAAATAATTCACTCACTTCTAAAACAAGACAAGAATAATGATTTAATACTCTGTCAAAGTACCAAAGACATAAATCTCAAAGAAAGAAAATCTCAATACACTCTTGTATGACTTAAAAAGACTAAAAAATCACTCAAAGATGATAATATATTAAACCATAATGGCTATTGTTAAAAATAAGAAAATTAGAAAGTCTCAAAATAACATTAAAGACTAGAAAAGAATTAATAAGAGTAAAAAAGGCTTCATTTTTGCCTCTATATATACTCTCTAACTAAGAGCTGTATGACAATATTCTATAGAACCTCCAATAAGTATTGACTTTGTTAGACAAATGATTTAACTTGCAAGGTAAGTTATCTATATGTACACCACATAGTTAGCTTGTTCCACAAGCTACTAACACATGTGTCGCGTGGCTAATTTGTTGACCAAGTTTCTAGCTTATCAATTAACTACAAACATGTGTAAAGTCAAAGCAACAACTACAAAGCTTCTTTAGAAAATATTATGAAATAATTCTACTTTTATCTACTTTTATTTAATCATATATGTAATTATTGGAATAAATATGCATGTCCATGATATCAAGTAGCATTCAAATGTAATATTAGAATTATCAAGACATCTTTTAAAAGAATAATGTAGATATTTTTCAAGAATATTGTCATTATGATTGTTTAATTGATCTTCAAGAACATTGTTAGTATGATTGCATAATTAATCTTCAAAAAGATCAATTACTATTTGAATCAATGTATAGTTTATTATAAAATGAGTTAGTTTTATTCAAGGAATATATCAATGAAAACTTGGCTAAGCACTTTATGTGCCATTCAAAACCTCAAATAAAAGTTCTTATCTTATTTGTAAAGAAAAAAGACAAATCATTGTAGATGTGTGTTGATTATTGAAGGTTAAACAAAATTTCTATCAAGAGTAGATATCTTCTATCATTAATATTAAGACTTTTTTATGAATAAATCAATTAAAGTTCTATAAAAAAATAATAAAAAATATAAAATTAAGTATATATTAAAAAATAAGATGGATAAAAAAATATATTTCAAATTAAATAAGTATATTTTGAATATAATATGATATTTTTTTTACTAAAAAATATATTAATTTTTTTCCAATATTTGATAGATAATGATTTTTTATAATTTTTAAGTGATTTTGTCATTTATTATCTGGATGACATTTTAATCTAATCTAAGAATAAAAAATAGCATAAATATTATGTTTTTTTGTATTGCGAAAATGTAAAGAGGTAAGATTAAATATCAAGATAGAAAAGCATATATTTTATACAATTCAAGTTGATTTTATTACGATATATCCATCATATGAATCCATCATATGGATCCATCATATGAATCCATCATATGGATCCATCATATGAATCCATCATATGGATCCATCATATGAATCCATCATATGGATCCATCATATGAATCCATCATATGGATCCATCATATGAATCCATCATATGGATCCATCATATGAATCCATCATATGGATCCATCATATGGATCCATCATATGGATCCATCATATGGATCTTTAAAAAATTCAAATTATCATAAATTAAAAGATTCTATGATCATTAAAAAATATCTAATTTTTTTAAAAGTGTGCTAATTACTATCAAATTTTCATCAAGAAATTTTTTCAAGTTGCAACTCCACTTACATGTTTGATTTGTAAAGAAAAACTTGAGTAGAATAAAGAAATTAAAGTAATATTTAAATCTTCAAAGATGATTTTTACTATAGTACCAATTTTATATTATGTTGACTTTTTAAAGGTATTTTTTATAAAAATAAATGCATCAAGTACAACATTGCATTAGGTGCAATAATATTCACTTATTAGCCAAGAAAATAACAAGGTTTGCTAGATGCCATTTTTAGATGTTCTTATCTTGCACCAAAAGAAAGAGATGCAACTTTTAATTAATAACAAATGATTTTTTTGAAGCCAAAGCATTTATATTTTTAAGCAATGAAATTAGTATTGATTTTTAATTTCATATTTTTTAATCAAATAGAATTAAATATGTGCTTAGATCTTCTTATACAAGATATCAAGAATAATACTTTTAAATATCATATTTCTAAATTTAAATTCAAAGAAAATATTCTCTATTTCAAAGAATTATGTGCTCTTCAATCTTGTCATGTTTTTTTAATTATAAGATATTTTAGATACAATAAGATCTTAAAGTTAATCTTAAAAGATTTTGGTGGCTTCAAATATAAAAAGTAGTTATAGACTTTGTACAATCATGTAATATTTGTTGAAGATCAAAAATTTCTTAACATTGATTTTATGGAATTTTTCAACCACCACCTATATGAGAATAAATAAAGTCTTTTATTTCTATGGTTCTTATTATACATATATTAGTATTTATTTAAATAGAAGTAGTTAAATAGAAGTAAGTAAACTTAATAATATCTCATAGAGTAGATTTGTAGAAGCTACATTGACATAGATTTGACTTTATAAGTATTTATAAACAATTGATAGGTCAAAAAGTAGGCCACTAAGTTGACTATATGTTGTACATATTAACTACTCGTTTTTATTAGTATGTCACTTGTCATACAAGTTAGCCATGTAGAACACATATTAAAAACTTGTCTTGCAAGTTAAACACATGTTGAATGACTTCTACAATATCACCATATAATTCTTTAGTTAGATAGAATATATAGAAGTAAGAATAAAACTTTCTTCACTCTTATCAACTCCATTCTTGCTTCTAGTCTAGTTTCAAGAATCTATAGTTTTCTTATCTTTGGCAATAGTCATTCCAATTTTATCTTGAATATACATTTTTTTTTTTTAATTTTTTTGTATCATCTTTCTTTGAAACACATCTTACATGTTTAATAACATTCTTCAAGTTATTCTTCTTGATAGATGGTGGTTTTGATGTAATTTTACAAAATGAGGTAACATATTCTAAATTCTTTTATAAATTAGATGCTATCATATTTTAACTTTAAAAAAATTAAATATATATATATATATATATATATATATATATTTCTAATTAAGTAAAAATTAAGTTGAATTTATTTTAAATAATTTTTTTATTGATATTTATGTCATTTGCACAAGTGTGTAGAAAAAGAATACAACTTGTGTAATTATATTAAAAATGTATTTTTTTATTACAAGATTATATAAGTAAATGAATGTAACTCCAAAATTGTGTAAGTAGAACAAAAAGTAATTTTTTTTGGAAAAATTGCAAGTATACCTTTTTTTAATTCTTCAAGCTTCTAGATGCAACAGATGTTTTTAATGTCACAGATATTTTACAATTTAAAAATAAATAAACAAATAAATAGATGCTGAGGGTTTTCTACTTAAGCAAACTGGTGCAGCTTTTTGTACACAAGAAATAATTAAAGACTACAATTTTAATAATGTTTGGTGATGGTATAAAAAGTTATTTACAGTCTAATAGTATCAATAATTGTGTTGTTTTTAATCTACTTGTAAAATACAAAAAACAAAAAACAAAACCAAACAAACAGTAAAACCAACGTCAAGATGTAATATTACACGAGATGGCATCCACGAGTGGGGACAGAGGAGCTGCAGGATCGAAATCCACTTGTCTTACCCAGTAGCGCCGTTCTTAGAAAAATGAGTCTGGAAAGTGGTATAATTTCAGCAACAAGTGACAAATATATCAACAAACGAGAAGCTCCAAATGGATGAACAGGAAAAGGAGTGTATGAACACAGAAGGGATGGATGACGGAGACGGAAGAGTCTGACGTGGCGGTTACTGCCAGCTAGGCTTCCACCTGTCACTTGCAAAAAGGCCTAGGTGGAGGCAGGCCCGGGGGAGGATGAAGAACAATTGCGGACTGATTGAGTGTGGCTGCTTTCTTGGCTATGTCTCCGCGAATTCGAAATCGGTAGCCGCATGGATTGTGTCCATCGCATACTTTTTGTGTTGACGAGGGCTGCGTGGACGGTCAGGCGGAGTGCGCCGTGGTGCAGTCCTTTCTTGTGAAGAAGAAGAAGAAGAAGAAGCAGAAGAAGATGAAGATGAAGAAGAAGACGAAGGAGCGGAGAAGATGATACTCTGTTTCGGAGTGTGTGCATGCAGATGTCGGTGTGGTCAGTGCGGTGGTTTAAGAGGGGAATTGAGTGCGTTGGCCGATTTCGGATGTGCACTTGGACGGCGACGGGTTCGCCATGCGGTGTTGCGAGTTTCGTGACTGGCGGAGTTTGTGTTTCGTAGCAAGAACGGCGGTGGTGTTCAGTTTGTGTTGACGTTCAGGGACTGCGACTCTCTCAAATTGAGGATTACAGGAGTGGTAACTTGAGCCTGATTCAAGCCTGGGGGGAGAGAGGGAGAGAGAGAGAGAGTTGAGGAACTCTATTGTAGATGTGAAATTTGGTTATCCGGAGGTTGTATAGTTTGATCATGCTTTTGAAAAAGTCTTGAGGACCGTTAGGGTATATTGCTACGTGTAAGCATTGAATAAATGGGCTTTTGTAGATTCGTTCTATCGTTGATTCCGTAGGATGTTCTTGAAGTAAAGTTTTTCTCTAGCGGCGAGAGTTTATGTTGCATGTAGGTGATAATTCTAACGTGACTAGCGTTTCGTATTGAACGCGCGCTAGACGATTGCACGTTCTGTTCCTGTTATTTTTACTTAGAATTTGCTGAAATGTGTTCCCTTTCTGCAGCCATGCAAACGCTTTCTCAAATTCTTGTAATTTCGAGCCATATTTTATCGTTTGGAAACCTGGATTTTTGTCGACTTTGCTAGACCCTGTTGGCCGTAAAACAGATGATCCTTAAGCATGGAAGTCTGTATCGTCCACGGATTATTAGATTAGAACAAGAAACCTAATTTGATTTCTCCTCACAGAACCTACAATGATGGTGATAGGAATTTGTGGACAAACATGCATTGAGAGACGCACTTTTGTACTGAATGAGTGTTGGATGTGATCAGGGTTTGGTTCATCGATACCGGTTTAAAGCGTTCTCAAGTCCTTGAAATGTATCCGTCGTGACCACAATTTCTTGGACAATTATTGCAGCGGAAATAACCCGGAGTCTGGGGCGGAGGATTGTGTAAATTGATCAATGCGTGATCGGTCAACATGGGGTTACACAGTCATGGTTGGTTGCGTTTCTGCTCATGCTGTGAATAATGCCCGACTATGCGGTGGCTTTAGAATCTCCAAAAGGTCTAGGCTTACAGCTTACATTGATAATTTTCATATTCAAGCTGGAGTGATTTGGTTGAACTCTGAAGCATGCAAGCTTTTGTCTTGCAAAGACCAATAATTATTCGCAGTTGTGATTTTATAATTGCTGCCGTGGTTTGCTAGAAACAAATGGTGAGCGGGGCAAACATTTAAGCCACACGCCATCATCCAACAGTATCGACGATGAATCACGAGGCAGCGGCAAACCAAAATTAGGAGCTTTCCGTGCTATAATCACCACCTCCAAGTTTCGCAATTCTTTGAAAAAGCGGCGCAGTAACAGTTTGACTCGTGTAACAAGTTTGGCCCTACCTATTGTGGATATTCGTGATGACAAGGACCAGAAGGCTGTTGAAGAACTTCGCAAGGAACTTTTCGACAAAAATCTGCTTCCTCCACAGCATGATGATTACCACGCCCTTCTGAGGTCCGTACCCTACCGTTCAGTTCTTAGCATGTCCACTTGCACTTAAATGTAAATTGTGTTGCACAAGTTGTTATAGGTTGAAGGATATGCTAGTTACGGGAACTCATCTTTCATCTTAACCGTAATGTTTGCTGATGAGTGATTTTCAGATGGTGCCCGTGTTCTTCTATGTTTCACTTATGCGACCCAATTGTATTGTTTATCGTTTATTTGTGTTCGGTTGTGTATAGAAAGGATGACTGTATGGCGGAATCGAGCTTATGAGTTCTGTCATACATGTGCGTTTGAGTTTGTTTCGAGTCAAATATTAGGGAAGCTTTGTTGCTACCCTGCTAGGTGGCATATTCTGCCACCGTTCTTGATGGCTGGACCAATCTCGATGTTGGTAAGCGTTGTGAAATGTCACTGGATGTCGCTCTTCTACTTAATCTCAATCTTTTAACGATTACTGAATTGAAATATTTCAAGGTCACCTGCTGGTGGCCGAGTACGGAGGACAATAGCTTTGTTGGTCAGGGGTGTTTCTGAATACATTCAAAAATTATAATAATGGAGTGCAAGGAGACTACAATTCTGTGTAGTGATTTTTGAATATTGTAATAATGATTCGAATTTACCTCGGCATTTAAAGTTAGTCTTGGCAGAAGCTGTGTTAAATTACGCCGTTTGCATGATTTTGTAACAAGGATTTATTGTAGTGAGAACGAGGAGCCCCTGTTGTCATGAAGAATTCGCTGTAGTTATTTACTGCGGTGTCGTTTGAGTTTAAGATTGAAAACTTACTTTTTGCGGTTTAGCTGAACAGTCCAAGCATTAGACCACGGTATATTTGATCACGTATCGATGCATGTCAATGGTTGTTCATATTTTAATCTATATTCTCTTTCCATCTGCGGTGTGACAGTATTTGATGGCATTTCAAATTTTGTTTCGTGCTTTGTAGGTTTTTGAAGGCAAGGAAATATGACGTCAAGAAGACCATAGAAATGTGGAGAAATATGCTAGCGTGGCGCAAAGATTTTAGGACAGATACAATTATCGAGGTTTTTGTTAATTTCCAATCTTACCATGAATTATGAATGTGATGCCTTGCTTGTTCTCGTTCTTTCTCTTTTTTTCTTTTCTTTTCTTTCCATGTTCTGTAAGCGGATTGAAACTGCTGATCGGGCTTGCAATTCCAACAAAACCTATTTAGCGAGAGTTCTTGAGGGGTTTTTAAATTCAGCTGAGATTATAGAGTCGGATGCTTGGAGTATTGGCAACTTGATAAAGTCTTGGCTTAATGTAGATAATTTGTTTACATTCCAAATGACATAATGTTTTTGAGATACCTCTGCATCTTCTTGTGGATAGTCTCGACCCAGTTTTACGTATCTGACCTTTGCTCAAGGCAGTGAATTTTTCATGTTCAAATATCAAGCTCAAATATATCAGAAATTTGGAATTCCTGTGCGACTGTATCCTTCAATGTGAATTATTGTCCGACATATGCTGAACTTTTTTATATCACAACTCTTTTGTTATTTGTTTGCCTGCTCAGGATTTTCTTTTTACAGAGATTGACACAGTAAGGAGATTTTATCCACAAGGGCATCACGGGGTGGATAAAGAAGGCAGGCCTGTTTACATTGAAAGAATTGGCAAAATACAAGCACAGAGCTTGTTGGAAGTTACTACACTTGAGCGGTATTTAAAATTTCATGTACAAGAGTTTGAGAAGCTGCTTAACTTGAAGTTTCCAGCATGCTCTGTCGCCGCAAACAGACATATTGATACCACCACCACCATCCTTGATGTATCTGGAGTGGTAATGTATTCTCCATTTCTCTTCACATGACATGACATAGCTACTATATATTGTTCTTCATGGATATTTACCATATCTAATGTCTTTGTTCTTGTATTGCAGGGCTTAAAAAACTTCAGTAAACCTGCGCGAGACCTGATTCTTGCCATCCAGAAAGTTGACAACGACAATTATCCAGAGGTACTTGTCAATATTGGATTGGACATTGCAGGGATTTGGTTAAGAAATTAAATGATCGAGCAATGGTACTAATTGCGGTTTATTGAAATTGTTGCAATGCAGACGTTGGCAGGGTTATTTATTGTCAATGCAGGGCCAGGATTCAAAATGCTTTGGAGCACAGTCAAGGGCTTTTTGGACCCCAACACCGCCGCAAAAATACACGTAATTATCAGCCCTAGACTTTCATTTTGTGTGTTCTTTTTAGGTCTACTGAGGCCGACTGGGGCATGGACAGTTTGATGTACTGATAACCCTATTTCAAATACTGAAGTCACTTGCGTTGGCAGGTCATTGGTACCAACTATCAAAAGAAACTTCTTGAGATTATCGATGAAAGGTGAGTCTCTTCATTCATCTGTTGTCTTTCTTGAAATCAATTGGTAGCTTGACTAGCTAGTTTGTGTGTAACAAGGACAACGTTATGTCCAAGGAAGGTATTACAAACATTTGTGAACTTTGGGTGTTATGACCGGTTAGCTTTCAAACAGTTGCCACACCGAAGTAAAACCTTAAGGAACAGTTTTTTTCACTGTTGGATTGGGTGATCTGCACAGTAATTTGCCAGAATTTCTGGGCGGAGGTTGCAATTGCCAAACAGAAGGAGGATGTTTGCAGTCTGACAAGGGCCCCTGGAAGGATTCTGATATATTGAAGGTAAAAGGACAGTTAACGTTTTGCATAATAATATCTCCTTGCTCACAATTGGAAGACGTCACTTTGACTTAAACCAATCCTACAATTGAGCAACGGCGTGTCTGGGGGGTTTCAAAGCTAGACATGAAAGTCCTTGTTAACCTATAGAGGACTTTTCGTTACATACGTGCTAGGCTCTTTCTCCATATTCAGTAATTTTATGCTTGCTATCCGCAGGTTTTAAACGCGGCAGAACAGAGCAAAGTTGGCCGAGAGAGTGTGTCCTCTGCAAGGGAGCACGCGGCTTCTTCTCATTTTGACGACATAAAAAGGGTAACAATGCAGTAGAAGGCTTTTATTGTATTCCATTCGTCTCAATGTTTCATTGGAAGAGGGAAGGGTATGGTCGTTGAGAGTTAAGAGGCCGTTTGCATGCTCTGCCGTGAAATATTCTAGAGAGTCTTCGACTTGGAGTTCTTCACCGTCCAACTTTGGCCAACATTGAAACTTTCAACCACTTAATCTCCCCATTGCCTGGCATATAAACTGTCTATTTTAGGAAGCCTTGGATGATTATCCCGCTCTGTTGACCTTTAGCTACATTTTGTATACGAGATCGCAAAGCTACACGGATGAGCCTGTGTGTAGTGTGAAAGCCGAGGCGCAAACCTGATTTCGGGACTGTATTCGACCACTAGAACTCTGGGGTCGTTTGATGTTGCGCAGGAAATCGGAGACCAGGGTAGTGGAGTAGAAGAATCTACTGCAGAGTCTGGACCAAAGAAAAACGAGACTCGTGCCGACGATGATGTGTTAACCGTGAAAGAAGAGGTACGTGAACGTGCTGGCAACCGCTGATGCACTCACTCACTCCGATTATGTTGCACACAGATATACGAGGACGATCACCTGTCTTAAGGGAGTATATGTACTCTGGTAGCTGAAGTTTGTTTGGACTGATGGTCACAGGTCGTCGTAGGCAACAAAGATGTCACGAGCGGATGCGGTAAACACGCCGCTCCGAACTCTTCAGGTACTGAAGGTGCTGGGTGCATGGTATTGAGGAGCACCTGTTTGCACGGTAGCGTTCCGTTGTTTTATGGGTCATGGTGTGGTGCTGGTAATGCAGTCAAAGTTTTGTGATGAGAAATTAGTAGCAGTCGATCTGACCGATGCGAGGTTGCATGTGGTTCGCAGAGAAGACGGGGGTTCGGTGGACGACAGGCATGCAGGCTCGATCGATGTTGTGGTCTCTGCTGTGGGCGTTGGTAGATTGGCTAAGCCGACCGTTGAGGCTTGCGATGAGGAATGTGCACGAGAAAGAGGCAAAGGAGCGGATGAGATTAGATGAGTATGTGAGAACGACGGGGCTTATATCGAATCGTGTGGCAATGCTTGAGGAAGATTTCAGCACATTGTCTTCAACGTGTAATTCAGCTGCCAAATCACCTCCAGTGGATCCTTCCGAAGAAAAGTTCCAAGCTCTGGAAGCGGAAATAGTAGAAGCAAAGAAGGTTGGTGTGTTGAATTTGTTGGTAGTAGTGGTTGTGGCAGATCGTGGTGGGCCCCTTCTTTGATTGCGAGCGAGCCAGAGAGAAAGCAGAAATCTGATGGTGGGTTGTGTGAATGGTGAACCAGAACATTGAAGAGGTGTTAGCAAAGCAGGAGGAGCTAATGAACGAACTGCAGCAAATGAAGGAGTACCGCATGATGGTATGGTTCTATAAAGCTTTGGATTAAGTGTGTATGACTTGTAGATGGGCGTGTAGGAGGAAATTCGGTGAAAAACTCTCATCACTCGTTTACAGCTGTTCTGCATTTGTTGCATTTCAATGTGGCTGACGTTTCTTGATACATGATGATTGGGCGTTGGTGATGTACGTCTCCGGTGACGATTGAATGGATGCCTTGCAGAAAAAGAAGCGACATCACAGGCTGCTTTTGTTGTGAGCGCTTGGATTGTCCGAAGTGAAGGTTCGAAGGGATGCATTAATGTTAGGCCATGCTTTCGACTTTGTCTTAACCTTCATGCCTTCGCAACTATTATTGAGAATCCAATAATTTTTCCTGTTCGTCTTGAATACCAGCAGGTGCTCAAACCTAAGTAAAGTTTTGCTTACAGCATAATCCAGCATTACTTAACATGGAGACATGGCTGGTGCTAAAGTAACAAATAGGTTCGATTGTTCAGTAACCTTTGGAGGGTCGTGGATTTAATGAGTTTTTAGCCATCGCATTTAGCTTCCACACTATGTGCTAGTGCATCTGCTGGTCTGTGTGGACTTGGATAAGGTAGCATGCTCTCCTTTCCTATTAGAAGATAGCCTGATTCCAGACAGGTGGACAGAAACGTAGTTCTTGTAGTATTTTAGCATTGATTTTGCGTTACTAGTTGTGCATGGATCACTTTTTACTGACACGAATATGGTTTACAGTTTACAAGCAGGAGTCTACTTGCTTATAGAAGGGGCACGTTTTGAAGAACTGAACGTAGTCCTTGGTTTAGTCTATGTTGGAGTGGGATATGTATTATGAACTCACGGTGTTCTGTACATGTAAATGTATCAATCTTTCCGCAGGTGATTATGGAAATGTATCTGTGATGTTAGTAGATGTAGTTGCAATTCACATTCCACGAAAATAGTGGTGTTTGTATTCTTCGTCTCTTTTTTTTTTTCTTTTTTTTGCATTTCCCAAATTTCATCAATGCATATTCTACACGCTTGGCATTGTTTGTTGCAGTATCTCAGTCTGGTTTGGACTTGAATATTTTTAACAAAGTGATTTTTTTAAGAAAAAACTTGCTGGGGTGGAATGAAGCCAACCAAAAACACCCTCCACTTCATGATAAGTTGGGTGGTGATCATAGCTTTTCAAATATATGTTCTATAGATGCATTCTTGTATTTTATAAGTTATGTTTTGTTGAAATACGTATATATATATATATATATATATATATATTAGGAAGTAATCCATAGTAATTTGTTGAACCATGCATGATAATGTTCCAACTTTAATTAAACGTAGAAGTAAAATAAAATAAAATAATCACAATATTTTTTAAACTTCATTCAAGATAAACGACTGCCAGAAATTCTTAGATTATATTTTAGATAATTGGCCTTTGTAGTTTCATTATTTATATTTGTAATCAAATTCTTTCTTCAGTAATGTAAAGTATAAAAAATAGTGTTTTTATTCTTGATTCTAAAAATAACCTGTAAGCATATCAATTGCACTATAATATCACACAACCATTGCAGAGATCTTTTTATTTACATAATTAATATATTTATTTTAATATTTTATTAGTATTCAAATATATTATTATTAAATTATTTAGTCACTTACTTAAGTTTTGTTTAAGTTTTGCTGACTTCTGCATTGGTGTTTCATCACAATACGGATATGACTTACTCATTATACGCACAATGTTTTTCTTTTACTCTTTTGATGTCTTTTCATATGTTTTTATTGAATCAAAATATACTGACAGGATCTCTATAGGTAATTTATGTATACACATATTTATGTAATAGTTTGATAACAAATACACATGTAATTTTATTGGTCTATGATCTTCGTTGGGTATACTAGGTGTGTGTGTGTGTGTGTATATATTTATATGATACTGAAAAAAGAATTGATGAATTAATAAGTAATCAAATAAGCAATAATTTTTTTTAGAAATAGGTTATTGCTTTCTCAAATTCTTGTAATTTCGAGCCATATTTTATCGTTTGGAAACCTGGATTTTTGTCGACTTTGCTAGACCCTGTTGGAAGTAAAACAGATGATCCTTAAGCATGGAAGTCTGTATCGATCTGTTTGTACAATAGCTTTTTCTTTGTTCCTACTTATTTTTAGCTTGATAAATCCACTGTGACAGTATTTTGGATATTTTCATATTTGTAAAATTATAGTTTGTTGATTGCACCACCCTGAAGTAAAGAAAAGTATAAACTAAAAAAAGAAGTATTGTTAAAAAAAAAATGTTGTTATTCAGTGTTTTATAATTGCAACAGATATAATATACATTGTTTTCTATAGATTTGATTGAGTTTCACAAACCATTTTTTAAAAAAATGTTTATCTACTATTTTAATACTTTTTTTCTTGTGCTTGAATTGTGTAAACATGTTTGTTGTCTATTTCTTTATTATGAAGGAAAATTAAATTAAAATTAGAATTAAAGAAACAAAATCTTCTATCAATATGTACAATTTTTTCATTTTCCGTTTTCTTTTTATTTCATTTTTATTATTTGAATGTGAAACAATATTTCCTAATTTCACAAACAAAAAGATCAACAAAATGGAGTTTATCATACATAATCCACAAGCCATCCACATCAAACAACTTAGAGGATAAACTAGAGGAAAAAAAAAACCATCTTTGATTGGCTGCATACCTCATTATTTTCATCAAAAGTGAAACAATAACTCAACTTTAAATCAATCAGAAATCAAAATCTACATGAAGCACTAACAAATAATTGCTATTAGGCACTTTCTTGTGCCCAACCGCATGGGTTTCCACTAGTAGTTCATCATCCACACACACACACACACACACACAAAAAATATATATATATATATATAGCATTTGCAGGGAGATTGATAAAATCCGGGTATGTATGTACGGCACCCATGTAGCACAAACAATACAACAAATTAATTCGTTCTAGAAAGCTCGGTGTGAATAGAGACCAGAACTTACAATGCATGCAAAAAGCAAGCAAGGGAAGCTTCGAGGCTGTGGCCACGTAGACCTAATCTGCGTTGCGAGCCCATGCTCGCGCTGCCTCTGGCGCTTCCCCCGCGGCCACAGCGCGCCGCCGCTCTGGCTTGTATCTCAAATATAGCAACTCTGAATGCCCTCGATCGTAACTCTCGCACCATCCTTCATTACCCAATTCGCCTGTTCCTGCGACTCTTCACTTCTCGCGGAGTTTGTCACTGCAGAGCCGTCTGGGATCACGCTGCGCGCGGGCTGGAGCAGTGCCGACGATCCTCCTGAGGATTTGAAGGTGATTTTGTGTGTGTTTGTGTGTGCGTTGTCGGGAGAGATTATGCGCTGTTGGGTTCTCTTTTGTGGAAGGAGAGCAAGTCGTGGAGCTGTGATACGACCTTTGCCACGAGTTGTGAGTGATTTAGGGTTTATGGCCTATTGTGGGGCGTTTAGGGTTTGGAAGTGAGGATGCAACCGCGGAGTGCGTTTGTGAGAATTGTATAGGGTTCGTTTAGTGGTGTCGACGGTGATGGTGTTCGCGTTTCTGGGTTGAGCGAAAGCGTGTCTGGGGTTTTAAGCTGTCGCGTTCTAATTTTGGCATAGTTTGAAAATTGTGGGTAAGAGTGTTTTGAAGGGAAAGAGGACTGTTTAAGTTTTTTAGTGAAGAGGTTCAGTTACGGCAGAAAGAGAGAGCCATGTTACCTGTGAGTACGTGCCCATCGTTTTGCAGTAACTAAGTAGCTTGGCTTTTTAGAAGCGCCGAGCGTACCTCATGTCTGTGGTTCCAGAGGTCTCAAGGAAAGAGCTTTTGAGTTGTTCCGGGGGAGCAGGGACTTTCGTCTCCTGGGTTCCAATCCCGCTGAAATCCTTCTTTCAGCGCCGTTACTTCAGAAGATAGTCGTGGGATGTGATGGGAGGCAAGGCTCACCCCCCCTCCAGTTCAGAATCTGATTACTGGGGTGACGAGTCATGGACCGTGGATTGCCCTTGTGGGGTGAGCTTCGACGATGGCGAGGAGATGGTGGAATGCGATGAGTGTGCCGTGTGGGTGCACACAGCGTGTTGCCGTGTGCCCAAAGGCCTTACTACCTACGTCTGTGATAAGTGCAAGAGCAAAAAGAAGAAAGAGTCCGAAGAAGCGCCCGAGATCCCTGAAGCCGCTCCATCTGTGGACCTTCCTTTCTCCGGCGCAGACACTTTACATACCACTGACCTCGTTCGTAAGCCCAACGAAGTGCCCATCCTTGACCGTGTGCACGTTCAAGGGATCCCCGGAGGAGATCCCAGTCTCTTTGTGAACGTTTCGAAAGTTTTCTCTCAGCAGCTGTGGAAGTACACTGGATACGTGCCGAAAGCGTTTCACACCAAGTGCAAGGACATCCCGTCGTTGCCCTGTATAGATGACACCCTCGAGCGCTTTCTCTCGCTATTGTCTTCTAGGAAAGAGGTATGTTCCTTGCTTTACTTCTTGTGTGCCCTCTCTTTACTTCCTGTTTTGTATTTCTTATCGCTCACTGGACCTGTAATCTGACAACCGTGTCGTTGGTTCTATCTGCGAAGTCACAATAAGGGATGCATGTCTTGACGTCTTGCTCCTCACTAAATTGATATCGGTTTTGCGTGTTCCTTGAAGTATCAGATGTGATCAAAAGGAAACTCACATACCGTTTGCATATTATTTGGTTATTTGAATGCAACATTAGCTGGTTTAAGTATTTAAAGTTCTCCCATACACGATCTCTAATTACGTGGACAGGTTGGACTGTTTTTAAACTGAACGTAAAAGAAATTTTTGTGAACTTTCGCAGTATTCCCTCGCTGGAGAAAGATCCCTAATTATTGAACACACGCCTGGGCTGTTATCATTTTTCCATGAGCTCACTTAACGAGTCACTCGTGGCAGAATTTCCGACACCACTATTTCACTTGTCTTTCTTAGCGATACTGTCACTAAAGCTCTCTTTGAATATGTTTGTTGGTTTTAAGAAAGGGGGATATGGTGACAGTATTCCTGCCTTCTTATATAATTTCTGCCTAATTTCTTCAGATTCTCTTTAAAAATAACTATTGGGCTAGAAGAACGGAGAAATTCCTAATTGCGGAAATCTGCAAACATGGGTTAGTTGAAAGCGGTGCTTCGATTTTTTTTGACTGAAACATATGGCAAGATGGCATAAATAGTTGTGTACTTTAATGCGGGTTCTGACGCATCTCTTGTTTTTTGCAGGCTTCTCCCGAGACTATGGAGGATGTAAAGCCCACCGAGAGAGTTAAGGAGGAAGACCTTGGTAATGTCAGGAAGGGCACTATGGGCACCGTACAGGCTGAGAAGCCTTCAAAACTTCGCGACCCCAAAAAAGCGGAAGTTGGTAAGAGTAGTAAATCGGTGCAAAAGTCTTCGAGATCAAACAGAGATGGAAAAGTGCAGTTGCATTTGAAACGGAGCTCTGAGGAACAGAACCGCAAGGAGTCGCATAATAAGAGACCGCGAACTGGAAACTCAGTGAGGACAGAAGAGGAGTCCTTAAAAGAGGACGAATTCTCGCGGTCTGAGGGGGAGCCTGCGGCACGGGGGAAGTCGCCAATATTTTCTAGGAAAAATCCGAAGGCAATGAAGAAGATGGCTGTCCAAGAATTTATGGATGGGCATGTCTCGATCCTTGGCACTCGGTGTACACACAGTGAGCAGATTCAATCAACCGTGGCTTAGTTTGCTAGGTGATTCTCTGATCGCCTGCTCTTGCCCTGTTTTTGACATTGTATACTTGAATGTAGAGTAGTGGTAAATTATTGATCATTTGTTGAGATATGGGTTGACCGCTCTGCATTGTAACCATCATCCTACATTACTACAAGAAGTGTGTCATGGTTACCATTTCATCAAGAGTTGCACAAGTAGGACATCGATAAGCTGTGTGCGTTGATGAATTTTGACAAATTTTGTATCGTACAATTCCAGTCTTAAGTCGGATTTGACTAAAGCTACTGCCCCATATTTCTATTCAACTGAATGTTATTTGTAACTTGGAGCTTATTTTGTAGGAAGTTCTCTTTTTTGTTGGAGCTGTGATTTGAAGTTTTGCATCCTAGTATAATCTAGTTCAATATACTTCAGTTAAGATTTTAAGATTCTTACCTTGATTGTGTGCCATATGTAAATTATGAACACTTTTTCACTCGGCATGAAAAGTTCGATATATTTTTCTAAATGTCAGGAAAATGAACAATGAAAAAAATGCACTGAATGCAAATGTAACAATAATACGTATATCATCTTTAATGTAATATCACAGCCCCAACAAAAGAACTGCCTGAGTATCCCAAGCTTCCGCAATCACTTACTCCCACAGCAGACATCTCTTCGTCGCCCAAGCTTGTAGTTCGGTAACCAACCTCGTCTCACCACTTGCACTACATTACCAGCTCCATACCACGACAGATATCACCAAAGACCGACACCATGTACCCAGCACCTTCGGAACATGAATCGTTCGATGCGGTGTACCTACCGCATCTGCTCGTGACAGTGTTAGCGACCTGTGACCATCAATCCAAACATACTTCAGCTGCAACTGCAAATATACTCCCTTGAGGCAGGGTGTTTAGTCCTCGTTTACTTGTGTGCAACGTCATCGGAGCGAGAGGTAGCATCGGCAGTTGCCAGCAAGTTCACGTACCTCTTTTCACACGGCTAACTCATTGTCGTCGGCACGAGTCTAACTATTCGATGGTCCAGACTCTGAAGTAAATTCTTCTACTCCACTACCCTATTCTCCGATTTTCTGCGCAACATCAAACGACCCCAAACTTCTAGCAATCGAACACAGCCCCGAATTCTGATGAGGAACAGTGTCCGATGCGACGACGGATCGAAGAGGATTCCACAAGTTAGCAGAGACCTGTCATGTCTAGAATTGACAGCTCTTACACTGGGCACCTGGTCGATCGCTGCCCCGGCTACCGACACATTGGAGTCTGCAGCTTGTGAGCTAGAGACTTTGTATACAGACAGAAACTTTACTCTCCACCAACTCTTGTTAGGCTGAAAAGATCCACATTTCTGCGGTCATCGTGCAAGTTCCTCCGACAAGGTCTGGCGAGGTTCTGCACCAACTGCCTACTCTGACAGTAATACAAAAACGCTTCAGTGATTGTTCAGTTGTACAGCTTCGTTTGTTTGAAGTTTTGCTTCGATGAGGAAATTACGCAAAAGCCAGTCGGTCTATGACCAAAACAATTCACAAATGTTAGAATTTTTGTCTTTTTACCTTGGACATGATATTTATCCTTGTTCAACGCGAACTGGCCATTCGAACTACCAATCACAATTTTCAAGGAAACACAACAAATGAATGAAGAGATTTTCGATTATCCGATATTAAAATAAAGTCTGAAATTGTTAGTATTGAATATTGAATAATATGTTAATCTTTGTAGCATTCTATATTAATACCATCTGCGAGTTAAATGGAATACTAGTCTTGTTGTTATATGCCATTGAGATATCATTATTAAAATTTCTAATTCTATAATAAATGATATTTTTATTAATTAATGGGAGTTATTAATTTTAGGGGGGTTAATTATTGAGGAGACAACTAAACTTTAAACCCCTAAATCCTAAACCTTGTCATAGTTGTCGTTGTCAGATTCCTCTCTTCTTCCTTCATGAAAACCTCCTCTACATGCATCAGTCAACTCTACTCAATCTTATTGTAGCACTATCTTCACTACTTAGATCTGGAATTTGAATATTTGGAAGTGATCATATATATGTATATATGTTCATGTACTTATTTGGAGTTTTTTGTGCTTCATCCAATGTGATAAGTTATATATATGCACTTTCATAAATTAGCCTATTGAAAATTTGTTGATTTATTTTTGGTCTTTAACTTAATAATATTGTGCCAATCTTACCTCCCTCTCTTAGCATGTGCTCTACATATTTTTAGCTACTCTTGAATATTTATAAGCTACTTCCAAATAATTGTTGCAACCAAAATTATCATAATCATTTATTAACTTTCATGACACCTTGCTTGACATGTGTTGATAGCACTATGCAAACTAGTGGGTCCTAAGACTACTAATTAACTCAAACATTATTGGATGTTGTAGAGCTTGAGCATAGTGATTAATTAAATCCTTAATTCATATGCATTGATTATCATGTGTGTAATTTCAAAAGAAGCATATTCTTCAAACTTTCTATGTTCAAGTCTCTTTGGATGGTTGTGCTAGTCGTTGAAAGAATAGAATCTTCTCTACTTCAAATTATTTGTTATAATTCTATTATTTTTTTATTTTTAAAATTTTAAAATATTGAACTAGGTAATTTGTATTCTTTACTTGGTATATACAGATTGGTAGTAACCATTGTCAGTCTTCGTGATATAATGTTGCTACCTATGACTATAGATTTATATACATTTTAAAGGACAATGTAATATATCTTGTCATTTCTTTTTTATGAAGAAAATGCCAGTCAATTTTGGTTTCTATATGTGCTAGTTTAGAAGACTGGTAACAATGGAACTTCTATATGTTCCATGGAATTTAGTTTAAAGGGTTAGGATTAACTTAGATTGTAGATTTATTGAAGTAGCTGAAACAATTATGTTCAAACTTATGTGTTGTTTTATCTCTTCACAAGAAATTGAAGTTTTTTATACATAATGACTAATACTAAGAATATTCTTAAATTATTCTTTAATTGCAATTAAATATCAATTGTTCTAACAGTTGATACTCTGTAGCATGTACATCTATATTTCTATTAGTAATGGTCTATTTGTAGATAAAATAATCTGTGCAATATCCTAAATTCTAAGATTTAGTTGGATCTTTGAAGCGTTTCTATTAATTATTTCTATTAGACCTATAGAAATATTTGATCCTTATTATATGCTCACATGATTATCAATTGGATCTATGAAGCATTAATAGAAAAGATATTAGAAAGAACTAAAAAAAATAAAAGACCAAAATTACCTTCAAATTATAATGATTTGAATGAACTTATGCAAAAATGTTGGAAGTTGAATCTTTTGCATTGGCTAAAGTTTGCAAATATTTGTAAAAGATTGAACCATTCAAAGAAAAAATTTATAATTGGAATTGATGTAGCAAATGCACTATATTTTGGAGCATCAAAAAATAATTATCATTAAAATATAAAAATTCATGAAATACAAAATATATTGCCATTGATAAGATTCATACTAAATATTATAGAAAATATGTAATAAATTAATTGCATTTCTTTTATTTTTTTTTACTTGTGCATAATTTTCTATGCTACAATGATGTTTAGATGCCTTAGTATGAATCCAAGTTAGTAATTTTAGGATAAAATATAGTACATACATGATTCTTATTTCTTTCTTAATCTTTATTGTAGGTTGGTTTACTTAAGAAAGTAATATTTGGTAGAGTATAATATTTATTGTAAATAAAACAATAGTACACAAATGAAGTAAAGGCATTATATCTTATTGAAATGGGTGGAATAGGTAAGACTACAATATCAAAGGTTACATTAAATAATGTGAAGAATATATATAAAGCTTCATGCTTTATTGAGTGTATTGAAAGTGGTGGTAATTGATATACAACTTTTTGTAATATTTTAAAGAAATTTAATATTAACAAAATTTCAAAAAAAATCAAAAAAGTTTTAGAAATATTGAAATCTTTTTTTGATAGAAAATAAAACTATCATAGTCTTTAGAAATGTGAAGAATCAAAGTCGAATTGAAGATTTTATGCCTATAGATGACATATTTGCTAACAATAGTAGCATGTTGATTGCAACAACTTAAGATTCAAAAGCAATAAAATATTGGAGTGAAAAAGTTTATGAAATTAATATTGAAGAACTTGATGAAGAAAAAAATATGAAGTTATTTATCACTCATTATTATGGCCAAGAAGATTTTCCTAACAAACTTATTGATGTTGGCAAAAATATTTTAAGACCTTGCAATGGCCTACTATTGAGTCTAAAAGTTATAAGAGTATTTTTAAGAGAGAATAAGAGATTAAGATATTGAAAATAAGCTTTACAAAAGTTGAAAAAGAGATTTGAATTAGATAGAGATGAAAACAATAGAAACTATCTAATTTGGATGATATTAAAAATATGCTTTGATGATCTAAAAATTAAAGAGAAGAATATGTTTTTGGACATATGTTATTTTTTTTGTAATGATGTATCTCCACAAGGCATGTCAAAAGAAAGAACATTCCAAATATAGGCTAGTAATCAAAAAAATATATCAAAATAAGATGTAGAATTTATGTTAGAGACATTGATTTATCAATCATTAATAAAAGTAGATAAAGATGGAATTATAAGAATACATGATCAACTACAAGATATTGATAGAAAGATTGTTGAAAAAGAAAGGAAGTATAAGTTCATACAAATGTAGCTCCATTTCATGGATTTTCAAATAAGGTAATTTGATTCAATTTTTATCTAAATGACATCTAAAAAACTTATAGTAATTAAAAAGAATTGATATTTAAAGGTTAGAGTTTTTAATTTATGTATTATATAATTTTTTATTATGGTTTTTAGATGTGTGTTGATATAAAGTAATATTATATATAAATTTAATTTATTTTTTAATTATATATATATATATATATTAATGAAGTACATCACTAATATAGAAATTTTAATCTTTTTGTGTATTTGATTGTGTTGGTTTATAATTAAAAGGATTATTTTATAACAACATAAATATAATAAAATAAGAAGTACTTCTTTTTCATCTCTTCAATTTTTATGTTGTAATATTGGTGATTTTGCATCCAAATATATAGCAAAGACACTAAGCATATTTTTTGTATTGATAAAGCATTTTTTTAGTTTAAAATAATTTTTACTTGGTATGCTAGAAGGATATGAATTAGAAGAAGAACTAGCATACAAAGTATTGCAAATACTAGATAAGAAAGATGTTTAGATAAAATTTGAGAATTTAAATTTTTTGCAATTAAAAAATTATTCTTTTATAGAAAATTTTCTAAATTCATTCTTGAAAATTGCTACATTATTGGAATTTGATTTAGAAGGATGCTCAAACTTAACCATGCTATCAAATAAAATAGAGAATATGACTTCTTTGAAAATACTAAATTTAAAAGATTGTATAAAATTAAAATCATTGTCAAAATCAATAAGAAGTCTTCTTTATTTGAAAAACTTAGATATAAATAGATACGAAAGCTTCACATCATTACCAAATGAATTGAAAAACCTCACATCTTTGACTACCTTGCATATAAGATCATGTTGAAGCTTGAAATCATTGCCAAATGAATTAGGCAACATCACATCTTTGACTACCTTTAAATTGTGGAAGTATTGAAGCTTGATATTATTGCCAAATAAATCAAGCAATCTCACATCTTTAACTACCTTAAATATGGAATATTAATCAAGGTTGATATCATTGCTAAATCAATTAAGCAACCTTACATCTTTGATTACCTTTAAATTGTGGAGATACTAATGCTTGACATCATTGCTAATGAATTGAGAAACCTCACATCTTTAACTACCTTATATATGGAATATTGCTCAAAGTTGATATCATTGCCAAATAAATTGGGCAACTTCAAGTCTTTAACTACCTTAGATATAAGATTGTGCTTAAGCTTGATATCATTGCTAAATGAATTAAGCAACTTCACATCTTTGACTACCTTTAAATTATGGAGGCACTCAAGCTTGACATCATTGCCAAATAAATTGGGCAATTTCTTATCTTTGACTATCTTACATATGGATTATTGCTCATGATTGAAATCATTTCCAAATGAATTGGGCAACCTCATATCTTTAACTACCTTAGATATGAGCATATATTTAAGGTTGATATCATTGCCAAATGAATTGGGCAATCTCGCATCTTTAACTATCTAATAAATGAGTATATATTTAAGGTTGACATTATTGCCAAATGAATTCAGAAACCTCACATCTTTGACTACCTTAGATATAAGTTGGTGTTTAAGCTTGATATCATCATTAAATGAATTGGAAAACCTTAATCTTTAATTACCTTAGATATGAACATGTATTCAAGGTTGACATCATTGCCAAATTAATTGAGCAACCTCAAATCTTTGCTCCCTTAGATATAAGTTGGTACTCAAGCTTGACATCATTGCTAAATAAATTTGACAATCTCACACCTTTGACTACCTTAGATATAAGCAAGTGGTTAAGTTTGATATCATTTCCAAATTAATTGGATAAACTTATATCTTGGACTACCTTATATATAAGCAAGTATTCAAGTTTGACATCATTATCAAATGAATTAGACAATCCCACATCTTTGATTACCTTAGACATAAGTAAAAGGTCAAGCTTGACATCATTGCCAAATGAATTAGACATTCTCACATCTTTGACAACCTTAGATACAAGTAATTGCTCAAAGTTGATATCATTGCCAAATGAATTAGCTAACATCACATCTTTAATTACGTTAAATATGGATTAGTACTCAAGTTTGACACCATTACTAATTAAATTGGACATAATCACATCTTTGACTACCTTTAATGTAAAAGGGTGCTGAAATTTTATATCTTTATTAAATAAATATATTATTTTTAAATATCAAATTTTTAATTTTTTTAAATTAATAGATGAAATACTCTTAATTTAGTAAGATATGTAAAATCAAGTCTAGATAAGATATGTATTAAATATATAAATAAAAATATAATAATCAAAAAAAGATATATATTAATAGATTGATATTTTAAGTTGATTTATAAATAATTATATTATTTTTTTGTATAAATTTCTAAAAATTAAGCAATATTTCAAATACCTAATAAAAATCAAAGAAATTTTAGAAATTTATTAGAATTATATACCAATTGTCTTGGAAGATATAAACATCAATTATGATAGAACTATGTAGATGGTTAGTTTTTATACATAATTTTATTTGTAGCATATAAAAATTAGTTGTAATAAATATGAGTGTTTATAATAGAAAATTACTTTGAACAATCTCAAATCATAATTATAGGTTTTTTTTTTAATCTTATAAAATATATTAATAACACTTGAATTATATTTAAAAAGTACTTTAGTCATTTAAATGGATAGAAAGTAGAGCAAAGTTTTTGATAGGATTTTGATTGTGTGGTTGAAGGCAAAATATACACATTACTCAATTAATTATTATAGTATATCTTTTGAAGTTTCTCATAAAGTATTTTTTAATGTTATTTATTTCTTATTATATATTAGAATATTCAATTGTAATAAAATATTTTAACTAGATTATACAAAATATTAGAACTAAGTTAAAATAAGATAATTTGACATTGAAGAATTTCTTTTTCAATGCCGAGTTTACAATAAAGAAATAAGAAGTTTATTGTAGAAAACAATCTTTATAAACAAGAATCAATGCTCAAATCTTAGCAAAACATTTCATTATATTATCAAAGTATTTGAAAGTAAAAGAACTTGTAGCAATAAAAGATTCACATATAAACTATTATTTTGTAAATTTGAGTGTATAACATTAAAAATATGCATATTAATAAAAGATTGTAAACAACCATATTAATGTAAAGCAAGTAACTTTTAAATAGAGAACAAAAATATATATACAAAGTTATTGAAAGACTTAAAAACTTATTATGATGTAAAAATTGATCTACTTTCTAAATATTGTATAAAGAATTTAGAAGACATTACATTTGTATATGTAATTTATGAAGAAATTTAACATAATGAAATAGATTTCATAAAAGATTGGAATATACAAGTAACAATATGTAGTGTAAAGATTATAAATTGACAAAATATTTATAAATAAGGTTAAAAGACTTATAATGGATAGGTAGAAAATTTAATTCTTTAAAAATATGAAGTAATATCCAAAGGTTAAAAATTAATGAACCCATGGACAATGATGTTATATCATTGTTAGACTTAGATCTTTCAATCAATTCAATTTGGCAAGTAATGACCATATTAGTACTAAGGTAACACAAGGTACAAAAAAGACTAATTAATTGATATTAGAACAGTTGCTTTAGCTGAAGATGGCTCAAAAATCTAAGCTTTAGTCAATTCAATTCAATTGTTAGTCCCACATTTTACTTCTCTTGTATGTTTTGAAAATAATAAATACTTGATATATGACGAATATTTTTTTTCACGACCAAGAATAATAATAGTATATATAGATGCAAGTATAGATAGAAATTAGATTGCTAAGCTCTTCACAAATGTAGCTATTTATACATACTCTAGGCTTATTAAAGCAATTGGTAGAAGTTTTATCATTTAGCAACAAGAAATAAATTGGAAGGCTCTCAATATAGTAAAAAATCTAAATCTTAAGAGTTTGACTTGAGAAGAGAACAAAATAAACTTCTTTTTCTATATAAAATTAAGAATAATAGAAGTAAATACTCTCTTTTTAGACAACCAAGCTTCCATCTTTACCTCCCATTTGATTTACATAATATAGAGTTAGAATTAAAAAATGACTTTTCTACTCCTAATGTTTTATGAATTTAAATTTTTTATCTTGTAATATGAAACATCTCAATAATCCTCTTAAATTCTTGAAACTTTGTAATTATTTATGGATTATTATTTTTAAATGTTACCTTCTAACATTCTACTTATATTTGGTGGTGATCAAAATATGGTTAAAAAGACTTAGAACAAATCTTCTTTAAGCAAAAGATTAATATTTAGAAATAAAAAGAACTCTTAGAATTTTTTTCATTCTTACATTTTTATAGCAAACACATTTAAACAAATATTCTCCAAATATTTTTAGAAGAATAGAATAAAGATGGTATAGGGGTCCTTATAGGGCTAAATAGATTTCATTTAAGCTTTCTTTTTTCTTCAAGTAAATCAAATTTATTAATATTGTATTAAAAGTGAATGTACACTATTTGACCACCTTCAAATATAATTTATCCTTCAATCACAAAATCTAAATCTAGAGCTTTTAATTTTAAAATAAATAATTATTATTTTAGCAAACCTTAGATTTTTCAATGAATTCAAGAAATATGGTCTTAACATAATAGCAAAAAATTATTCATTTGTTATATAGATACTTTCATACCATTTTACAAATTATTTTGTAAAGAATAATTATTTATATAGACCAGATGTCATATTGAACTTCAAGAGCAATTACATGAGGTGCAAGTTGCTTTTTTAGCTAATACTCCAAACATTGGCCTAAAACCTTGTTTTAAATAAGTTTAGATAGTTTTGAACTAACTCGAAGATTTGCAACAAGGAGAGAGGAAATGTTTTTCTCATATCAAATAGAAACTAATAGGAGATAGTATTGAAAAAGACTTTTATACAATACTTTAAAAAATTGTCATTTTAAACCCATTATTGCAAAATTTCAAAACTCTCAAGGTCCATTACAAAAAAAATTTTAAGATTTGAAAAAAATATGTTTTGATTTCTATTCTAATTTTTACATCTATCAAGCTTAACAACATTTGTTACAAAGTCATTGTGATTAATCAAATCAAACCATTGGTTGTTTTAGAACAAAAGAATGCATTTCGAGCACCAACATTGCAATTGTTAGGTGAAGATTAGTTTAGAGGATTTCAAATAAAGGGAATTAGCATTAGTGAATAAAATATAGTTTAATATAGAAAACCTAATAGAAAATTCCAAATTTAGAAGACATCTTGTTGGACATCACTTTAGCATCTTTTTAGTATCTTTTGAACATCCAGAAGAAATCTAGGATATTGAAAAATTCTAATATCATATGGTTCTGAATACCATACTAATACCGTATTATATCCAATACACTATGTGTTGTATGTAGTATGTGATACGATACGTATATGGTATTACATACGGAACTATATACGGTCTGGGTACATCCGGGCGCTTAAGTATTGACTGCCCGGGTATTGCAGACCTTCGCCTTCGGGGGCGAAGCTGCTGTCGATAGGGGTCCGGGCATGGTCCCCATTTCTCTCTCTCTTCCCCCCCTCATTTTGTAATGATGAAAATATGAGTCACATGCGGTAGTTGGAACGAAATTAGATTGCAATACGGTACCACCTTGGCCCAGTATGATCAGAGTGGAACCAAATTGCTTAGAATAAGATTGTATCCGCAGTTGAGGCTGTAGATTATATAGAAGTCTCGTTATCCTAATTCTGGCAATAGAAACATAGGGCTCACACCGATATATCCAGCGTCTGCTGGTGTGATCCTCCACGTTTGGTCGTCCCTCATGTCTGCAAGCTCTCCCTCCACCTCGTGCTTCCTTAGTGACTTCCTCCCAGCACTGGTCGGCCCCGGCTACCTCCACGAATTCCGATGACAACATGATCTCTGCTGCGAGACTTCAGCAACCAAGTTGCCAAGGCCTCTCTATCATACTCAAATGTTACGTGCAAAAGAAGGATTCGAGCTAGGGCCTGAAAATTATGTACTTTGCTGAGACAACCGTGGAAAGCTCTCAACGGTGCATATCTCGAAAACTAAAAGGCTCAACACCACTACAGCCGCGTTTGAGGAACTCATCTAGAGATACTTGAGGGTTAGAAGCATAGCCCTGCGCATATGCTTCGTACGCATACTTTACATGGTCTGAATAATAAAATGTGTCCAGCGCACTGTCAGCCCAATCTGCTCTCACCCATAAGAGAAATCACATAAAAGATAACTTATTAGTAAGTGGATTTGTTGTTGCACTCATCAACCATGTCAAGTCAACTCGAATAACTCCTTCAACCTCCCTAAGCTAAGGTGGCTATTGAAAGCGGTAGAAAATTGAATGTAGTCACCTATTCACGCCTAGTTTATCAGATTTATGAGCCTTTTCCTTAAGGACATAATTCAAAAGCATACAAACCTTCCTCCTAAATATCAACTAGAGTTGGAAGAGGCACCTAGACGTAGGCAATCAGTGCTCAAAAGAATACATGAAGTAGCTTCATATTTTAGAACATTCTATCTGAACGAGAAGAAACTCTCTACTTACAAGAGGTACCTGAAATATCTGGTTTTTGCCATTGCAAGCTACAAAAGCTGTACACTCGGGCCAAGTTCCATCATCAAGAACAACTCGAGAAATGCTGCCCAAAACTTTAATCTACTTTGTTTAGAGCAATGAGTGTGAACTCACACATAATCATTTGAGCTTGAGATTATCATAAAGATGACCAAGTTCAGGCCGAGCTTTCATCCAATCACTGAACGAGGTTTCGCCCGCGCAAGCATTGCCATGAAGAGCAACTCTGCTGAAAAGATAAGACCTGAAGGCAATCAAGAAAAAATACCTTCTGCAAAAGGCAATCACACATTTCAAACATCAATAATCCATTTTTTGGGGAAACCACCTTAACACAAAATGATCTAAAAGTAAAGAATGCACTATACTTACGTGGTCATAAAGAAATTAAACGTGTGATAAACACGTCAAGAGGGCCACTAACCTTAGAGCATTTACACCCATGTCAAGAACATTATATCTACGCTCATCTTCTAAGTTGGTGAAGTGATTCAACTGACACATGTAATCAAAGATGTCATCACGTAAATGTCCGGCCACAGCGCACCTGTAGCAATATTACGAATATAAACCCGAACGGTCAGGATATGAAGTATAAAACCCAATCCGATTACAGATTCTTCCTTTTTCAGCCCTAAACCGTAAACTCTCATCTAAATAGCAATTAATCACTTCTAAGTAAACCAGCGCGATCGATAAACGTATTGAATATTCAAATTTTATTACGACACTTCATATGCAAATATGAATATATTCAGACGAATAACATTCAAGCCAATAACAATGTTCAAAGAGAAAATAAGATGTACAAACCGGTCAATCACGACATCGACTTCGTCTTTACTTGCTGGTCCACTTGCCAAAACTCGAGTGAGACTTAATATATCACGGTAATCACCCTGTCGAAAGGCCTCCGTATCATCAGCAGGCCTTTGGACCATCTTATTATTTGCCATCAAATGAAAATTAACGATGTCCGTTTTCGTAGAGGATGACAAAGACAAGCTGGCCAATTGTTGTTCAGCTTGCAACCTAAGGCACGTCATAGCCATTGCGTAGGCAACACCTCCAAATCCTGTATGTGATATGAAGCAATACTCCACCCCTGAACCAGCTCTGCAATAAGAAGGCGAGAACTATGTTAAGACAACTATTAGCAAACAGTAGTACAAAACAAGCCCGACGAAAAAAACATTCCAGCACACTGCTCGTTACATTCACAATACAGATACATGGTAGTGTCACAAAATTGCAACTGCTTAGTTTCTAAAGGAGCATTATTATTGGCTTTGTTTGAGCAAACGTACTCGTCCAAACGTCGATGGATGGCATCGACGTCAGCAGTTACAGCTGCTCTTTCCCTGGTAAGAGGAATACGCTGGTAATCAAGGTTATATCCTTCTGCTCGTAAATTAGCATACATCTCGGCAGGGGTTTGAACATCCTCAGCACTGATTACTTCCCAATAACCAATTATGTCTGAATGACCAGTGATTACGCTATACTCTTCCCTGTGCAAAAGCATACGGCCTCCTGTGCGCTCTACTTCAGCCAAAATATCCTCCTTCAGCCTACTCTCCATTTGTTCAACCTGTTCAACATGATGCACAATACCTTCGCTGGTCACTAACAGGTAATAAGCAACCTATCGTCTTCAACAGGGACGAAGCGTAAGAACCCTCTAACTAACGACCATTTCCCTGATCCTTTAACACTATTTACGTTTTGCAATAAAACCTAAACAACAACCAACAACACTACTTTGGAATTGACCCTTGAATTACAAGTGAGAACTTACCACGTGGGCTTTCACACCAACGTGTTTTAAGGTGCTAGCAGGCTGATCAACCTCGCGAAGGACAAATGGATTATCATGCACATACACCACTACTTCTTCGCGAAGGTCTGTTACAACAGCTTTCCGCTGCATCCCAGACGATGGACCGGCACACAGATGAGTCAACACAGCTTTAGCCCCTTCTATAGTAGGAGTCGCCATACTATGCACAGGAAATCCCTCCACCTGCCAAAGTAAGCCGCAAGGATGTTGATTTGAGTTTTAAGACTTCCATAATCGATATCAGTTGGTCTTCAGAAATATTCACAGATGAAACTCTTTCAAAATAGATACATAGCCGAACAGAAAATTATATGAGAACACGACTCTCATTAGAGAATACAAACACAGAACTCATTTGAAAGAGTGAATAGATCAAATCGTTCTTAGGGCACACAAAGTAACTTTCGTCTGTTGGGGATTAGGTTTCCAAGGCAGTAGAATCAGAAGAAACTACTTCTCATAAATAAAAGGAAAGCAATAAAACAGATGCAAAGTTCAAGCGACTTCAAAACCCTCTGAAAATATCCGAAACGAAGAGAACAAGTCCTATCGATTACCTTACAAACATGGGGTGCACCAGTAATTGGTACATGGTCTGAAGTAGTTTTCTGTCCCGGGAAAAAGTACATCTTAAGGAGAGAGTGTTTCCCTAATATGGAACCAGTGCGTGACTTCACAACCGCTTCCATTACAGAGTCTTCCTGATTATTCTCTCCATGTACTTTGAACTCTATCTCCTGAAATGTCAACCAGCCACATAACAACAGATTAGAGAACTTTCAGAAAAACACACTGTAATAGGCAGGCATCTCCAACTATCACATCAAAGACTCTCCACTAAGGGAAAAATTGCTCACATTGATAGTGAACACGCGGGTCGGTCTCAATCGCATGCTCCATTTCATTTGCCTCACTTCTGGATGACGATGAAGCCACGCCTTGAAGGTTGTTCCAGAGCCACCTTGGCAGTATCCATCGAAAGAACTGCTGTTCAAGTAAGCAGCAAAAGCTATCAACATCAAGTACCGTTCAAGATACTCAATACCTCGATTCAAAGCTGCACGACGAGCATGATGCTCCAGCTTTTGATCGTTGAATGCCCGTCGGTAATGCAGAACAGCTTGCCGTAAATTTTGCATCGCAGCACAGTGATCAATGACACTATCTAAGGCCTCCCGGCATTCCGCCCCATTATCAAGCAGGCGCGTTATTTTCCGGACAATGGGGATATCATCCATCACAAATCCTGCAATACAATTTTGATCCTGCACCCTATTTGCAGGACTACCCACAAGCATGTCACCGTTAACCTCCTCTCCACTACTTAATCCACTGTCTGCTTCGTCCCCATGTGGAATTAGGTCAGGCATCCGAAGTGGAATGCCATACTCACATCGCAGAAGAACCAGACACGCTATCACCATCCCAGTGGTGGTCCGACCTCGTCCCATCTGGGTCACAAGAAATCTCAGTAACATAACAGATGAAGTAAATAAAAATAATCGTTTCAACTATATCAAATGAAAAAAGTCACATGATTTGGAAAAAGAAAGAAGCTAACCTGACAGTTGAAGACAAAAGCGGTGTCTCTTGTAGCAGTTGCGATGCGAGAAGCAAGAGCACCAAAGTCGGAACTTTTGGGAGCCTTGCCATCAGTAATAGGAACCCTAGCATACTCCACCTGATAGCCTTCAGCTTTCAAACATTCATAAACCTCCAGAGGTGTCTGAACTGCACCAGGACCAACAGGCTCCCATGAATCAAAAATCTGTCCGTCATCCATCTCATGATTCACCATTATAGCACCTGAATATCTTTCAGCTTCTCGTAATATGTCCTCTTTCAATCGGGCTTCCATCTGCTCTACTCTTGCCCTCTCTATGCCCTGCACGAAAATTTACTGTAAGCGATTACAAGACGCAGTTCCCATAATATCCAATCCACAAAAGCTTGCACATACAACCCAGTCGATCTGATCTCGGAGTTCAATGAGCTCAGTACAAGACAGAATTATAGAACTCCCCAGAGTTATAGTACAGATTTAACGACACAGAGCACATCAAATTTAACAAATTTAATAAATCAAACTCATAGCATAAGTCTAAAGCACCAGTTACTTTTTTTAAAAGCATATCTTCGTAAAACAAGTGTGACAATTCAAACACAATAATCATACTTAAGCTCACTTTGGCAAGAAATGTTAAAGAATAAAGAAACACAATAAAAACCAAAACAATTAGCAAATATGTAATACAAATAAATGAACGCTTACTTCATATTCGAGCATGTTCTTGTAGGGACGTTCAACTTCTCGCAAGACAAATGGCTTCCCATTAATGTATACGACAGGTTCCTCCCTCATGTTGTGCCACAATACCGGTCGTTCACTGCTACCTTCACCAACTCTTTGCAGCACAGCGCGGATGCCATCAATCGTTGGATTAGCAACTCCATACACAGGAAACCCTCCAACCTCCCTGAAGTTAGGAGCTCCGTCCAGAAGTTCTGGAAGATACTGGCTTTGACAACCAGGACAATGATCACTTTTCAACATTGTCCGTCGTCCTAAAACCTCACCGTTCCGACTGGCCACAACATACTCCATCTTACTCGGACGACCATCCGCAGCTTTTGGAGACATTTTTATGACACCCACGGGGGTATTACTATAACCCAGCGCACCCATAGGATCTCGTCTCAGCAACCTGAGAAAACAATACATTGTTAACATACCAGTAGAGAATCTCATAATGAACAAATACAATACTGAATTCAATCCTCAAACAAATGATAGGAGCAATCCTCAAAGAGAGGGGACCTGCGAAGGATGCTGTAAAGTTCCGGTCGTGCACGCATCCATTGCTCAAAACCGCCGGCGCCTGACCGGTGCGAGGAGCCCAAAGAAGTCTTATCAGTGTGAATGTAAACAGCGAAGCAGATAAGGAAGTAGTATCGCTCTAGGTACTCCACAAAGAAAGAGAGTCCAGCTTCACGCTTTTTTTCATCGGCTTGCCTGACAATGCTATTCCGATAACCAGCGATTGCCTCCCGCAAGTTCTGCAATTCAGGATTTTTCAGTACCCTAGAACAAGGACAACCAGATCTGGACTGGGTGAAAGCCATTGACTTTTAGAAGGGTATTTCCATCTACAAACCTCACAAAAGTCAAAAGTACCTGCATAGCTGAGCAGCTGTCGATTACTTTATCGACCTGACGTTTACCTTCCACACCGCCCTGCCAACATGAATGCCTTCGAGAATTAGAAACCAAAACTCATAATAATGAAGGAAGATTCTGCAGGGATAATTACTTTTAATCATGTGCATGTGTAAAACTTTGAATTGAAACTACCTACAAAAAGCATTCACTACTTCTTGCTTTCAAACCAAGGAACATAAGCTATGAACAGATCGATTTCACAGACCTCTTGATTGACCTGTCTAATCAACCAATGCATCAATTACTTAATTAAATAACTATTAAAGCAAAGGTACAAAAAAAATCCATGGAGAAGATTCATAGAAATGAGTTCGTGCAGAACACGGCTTATCCCGTGCATACTTACCTCCAGCACGCGGATAAGACTTCGGATTACTGTGTACTCTCCTCTTCTCAGGGCCTCTTCAGTGTCCGGTACGTCATGTAGCATTTCATCCCTAGCCTCATGAATTGTCCCCATCGAACTTGACCTTGGTAGCCCTGCAACGTTCAATGTTCGCCAGAAATTTCTAAACAACCAGTATCTTCCACACGCTGTGTTCTTCTTATTGAACATGAAAATGCTACATGAAAATGTTTAAGATGTTCTTAAATATGAAGATCTGCAGTCAGATTTCAAGTAGCTATACCCAAAAAGACATTCCAAAAGTTTCTTAGATATCCTTAGGACCAAGTCCGTATCAAAGCCAGGTCTCTTAAACTCAGTGAAGAATGCTTTGCTCGAATTCCTAAACCAAGACGAAGATGCTTGTTCTGAATAATCCACAAGGTTTTCGCAAAACCTGAAGCTCCGACACGCTGAAGATGAATCAAAGTCGCAATAACCATGCCCGTGGTGGTTCGACCGCGGCCCATTTGGCAGTTGAACACCAACTTGGTCTCTACATCAACTTGTGAAAAACGATGTACCTGAATCCAACATTATCAATCAAGAAAATATTATGTAATATTCAAACCACGTTACAGGGCTGACATTGAAATCATCAATCTTGAAGCAGGAAAACAAAGAAATACTCACAAGAGAATCAAAATCACGCTCTTTTGGTGACTTCTCGTCCGTGATTGGAATTCGCTCATAATCGACCGGGTAACCTTCTGCCTGCAGACTGACGTAAACCTGCAGACATCATAAAATCCATAATCCCCCGTCATGAATACTGACGATACTGAAAAAGTCATAACTCTGATATCACAAGGAAAGGGGAAAAAAAAACAAAAAAAAAAAAAAAAACAGAGAGAGAGAGAGAGAGAGAGAGCGGCTCCAGACATACCTCAAAAGGTGTTTGAATGGAGTCTGGACCCACAGGCTCCCATTGGTCTATCATTTGGCCATCAGGGAGTTCATCACTGACCATAATCTTGTTAGAATACCTGCATTGTTCAGCAGCACGAAAATACAGCTTAGGCAATAAATGCAGCTTGCAGCTTACGATCCAGTTGATATACTGCTACACAGACGGCAAAGACATGAAACCCCTTGGAATTCTAAATTTTTATCTAATATCTCGACCCCGAAATATTCTTTGAGAGTGTGTGTGTGTACACACACACGGCCACACCCACACAGCCGCACCGACAAACGCATGAGAGACTATCCGAACACAATCAACACCTTTCAGGTTTACTGAAAAACCTTCCGCCTGTAAAGCGTCATTATACGTAACAATATGTGTCCACAAACATAATCTGAAACTCAGATTGCTAAGATGGATGCCTTGAAATATAATCTGATGTACCTGGCAGCTTCCTGGAGAACATCTACCTTAAGACGAGCTTCCATCTGCTCCACTCTTTGCCTGTTGATTCCCTGAGCACATAAGAAGCAATTAAAGTCAGTAGTCTGCTGAACACTGGATCAATCAACCATATCGAAAAGATTGCGTGAAACTAGCAAACGAGGGTAGTGTCACAGGATTCTTGAGACAAACCACTTTCAGTGGTCCAAAAAAAATGCGTTGAACTGAGAAACTCCAGCAAACATGAAACATATGAACTAAGCCCAAAATAGATATCAAAATGACAAGTCATGTTATCCACTTTAGATGGTCACCATTCAAGAAGAATCTTAGAAAACAATCAATTTTCGAGAATTGTCTTGACGACGACCGCTACTGTGAACTTTTAAGAAAATAAATCATTCCCATCAGACAAAGTGGTTCCGCGGGTGAGCATTCGCAAAATAGAGAATTGCAGGAAACTCCTAAGGCGTTCTTGTCCCTGGGAAGCCTGAAGCAATGCCCGGTCCAGACACCATTACGGATAATTAGTTTGGACCGCACAAGCTCACTATGATAGTGATTCCATGTCCACGGCGCCTGTGGCTAACGAACTTTGTACAAGACGCTAACGTTAAACGCGTTCAGTCTACCAATATCCTCGACGAAGGAATCCAAAGCTAAGACGTGTTCAAGCAAGAATACCAATCGCAATCCCCCGGAATACATTCTTTCACAAAAGCAGTTCAAAATTCGTTTAAAATTCGAGTTTCTTCTAAACTATAAAAACCAACTACACCCTTGAACTTCCTCGCTTGCTGATATTTAAGAAATTGAAACTCAGGTTGACACACCCAAAAACTCAGACCATACTGAATCGTCATATGTAGACGTAGAACTGCACCATGCTGAAGGCAGACTCCTAAACCACCATAACATAACGAAGACAAAACAGTACAAGAATAAAAAAAAGTTAAAAAGTTAATGACATGCATACTTAAAGATCTTTTAGATATGTCACACGCCTTCATTATCTCGCCGTATCAAATGATGCAACCCAAAATACGTCAAGCTCTGCATAAGTAAAATTGCTGTGGATATCTCGTACAAACCGATGGAATTCATTTCACAAAAAGGAATTTGTGTTTCAAGAGCTTACAGTATACTCAAGATTTGTGAAAGGCCGCTCCACTTCTCGCAACACGAACGGACGGCCATTGACATAAATAACCTAAACAAAAGACGGCAAACGAAATTAGAAACCTTCGAATACATTGAGAAGGTGGATAAGTTCTACAAATCCTTGTACACAAAGTTCTCATTCAAGTACATCATAAACAACAATATAGTACGCTGGCGAAAGTGATCCACGACGATCAATCACGCAATGTAACTTAACTATAAACCAAATAAGTACCCTATTATCCCCAGAAGGAGAACGTACCGGTTCCTCCCGTAGGTTGTGCCACAAAACACGTTGAGATTCGTATTTACCAGCTCCTATTAGCTCTAAAACTCTGCGTATGCCATCAACAGTTGGAATGGCCACGCCATATACAGGTTTGTTTCCCACCTGACAACAGCGTACGAAAAACGAAAAGATGCGGCTTAATTCAGCCAATCAAGGCATTCCGACAAGGCAAGAACACCATTTAACAAGGAAATTTTCAGGTTTCAGATCAATTATCTCGAATACACCTTTATGTGTTGTGTTAGCAAAATACCACAAAATTTGCAAATAACTGTGACCTGGTAGTGATTTATCAAAGCCGTCTAAACGGTAAGATGACAAAATTTTATTATCTCTAGCTTGAGGGAAGGTGCTGAACATGTGCATATCAATGAGGACGAAAAATACGTGCTCATGTATAATATTTTTCATTATGTAAATTTTTAAGTAGACTAGAACAGGCTGTTGTGCTCTCTCTGCACCTAAAAACCTAAACAAGCAGTAGGATCTACCTGTCTGTAATTGGGAGCTCCCTCCACGTGAGGCAATAGACGCTTGTTTTGACAACCAGGGAAATGATCACTCTTGAGGATAGTTTTCTTGCCAAGCACTGAACCTTGTCTTGAAACGATGACATTCTCTGGTTCTCGTGATACGGCCATGTTGCATTGAATTACAAGTGATCCAATACCAGCTATTTTGAAGTAGGGCTTGTTCACTGGAAAAAACCGGAAGTGTAGAACTGTAAGAAAGGAAGAAAAACCAGAAGATACAGAACAAGTCTCGGGTAAATGCACCAAGCTCTTCGTCACCCATTCCAATTACTACAGAAAATCTATGAAAAACCTGTCTGGAAACATTGGCAGCTGCCTCTAGCTTCAACTACCTTCAAAGTAAGCTACATTTCGCTATCCTACATTCAGCAAAAAACATCGCTGTACCACAACTTCCACCTTATCTTAACCGTCCTCAACGCTGCTACGAACTCCACCAAACACATTTTACTGTAGCTCGCGACTACTGTGAAGATTTCCACCAGAAAATTGCATTCCTTTCCCAATGCATCCAATGCAGCCTCTAGCTTATCCGTCTGCGTCTTTGGTTAAACCCCTTACGTACCGAGCGTCTTCTTTCGCCGCAGAAACCGGGGGATAAGTGGATGCTTTCTCCAATCACGTTGGCACACGCTACCTCTCGAGACTCTTCACGCCAATAAAATCCTTGTTCTTCAAACCAAAGGCTACTTCAGCCAACTAAAATTTCCGCAAACGCTAGAAAGAGGAAATCTGTAAGTAGAATTAGGAGCTTGATGACGATGATGAACTTGAGTAGTGAAAAAACTTTACATACATGATGCCAAGGGTTACGAGACGAGAAGAAATTAGACTCGATTTGTGAGGGAAGATAGAATCCACATTCGGCAGAAGTTGATTGCAAGCAAAAAATCAGACAAAGCTGGCGGCGACGACGCGCTCGTTGATGAGAATGACCTAAGAAACCAAAAAAAAAAGTAAAATAAAATAAAATAAATGCTCTAAAACACAGAACTACGCTGAAGAAGCTGACGCAGAGAGTGGCCGAGACAGAGGGGAGTGGTAGGTTACAACCACAGCGCGAGTATAACTAACGACAAGCAAAAACCGAAACGAGGCGACCAATCAAGAGGAGACTTGCCCGCCACTGCAAACAAATCACCAAGACACATCACCAGAACACACAGCTACACTGGCAGGCTGCACCAAGGCAGCAGCAATTCAAACCGAGCGCCGAGACTTCGCAACTCGAAGCAACAGAGTCCATCTCTGATTAACCAGAGCCCACGCAGAGACACGGCAGATCTATGGCCAAACCACAGAATTCTCGGTTTGAGAGCTGGAGGGAGGGCTATTGTACAAGAAAGAGGAAAGAGAGGCAGAAAGAAGCCTGTGGCCATGGGGGCACTTTTCCAGTATGCACGTGTATGGGTCGGGAGGGAACTCACAATGGTGGTGTGTTCACACCTCCAAGCCCTATCCAGAGGAGTGTACCCTAAAAACGTGGACCAGGGGAATCTGATAAGGTAGTGGTGGTGGTGACAAAGTTGTGCCCCTCTTCGCCGTGCTCCTCCAATCAAATGACCCATTATAAGGTACCGGTAAAAGCCCTGTGGGGGCTGCTCGTTGGACTGTAGTAGTCCCGAGAAGTTGAGGACTGGAAAGATGGACCTGCGACCTGGGAAACCTTCCCCGCTTCCCCCTGCTTCGGGGCTTCTTCCCTGACTTGGGGGGTGGACCCCCTCCTCCTTGTTTGAATATAGACTATTCAGTCAACCTCTTAATTAATTTAGAGTGGTGTATTTCGATGGTTTACTATGAGTTTGTTGAATACTCTTAGGTGTTCTTTTAATGTGTACACAAACTGAACACAATACATTTTTCTTTCACTCCTGTACATCTTAATTTATGCCCTCGTCGAGTCTCAAATAATTTCCGGGTGGTGTTCTCACTGAAAGTGTCAAAATTTTCGTCTTGCCTACACACTCACATGCAAATGAATTTGTGCTGATTAAATTAAATTTAACTTTTCAGCACCATATTTTATTCACGTCCTTTATGAAAACCGAGCTTTTCATCTTATAATGATATCCACGGTCTTCTACATCCTTTTCTCTGCCGTTATAAAATGTCGAGTCAAGCTTCTTCATCCATTTCAAAGGATGCTTTCCACGTGCCTATTTAGAGTGATGGATGAAACTATTCAGCAGCACCGTTAAATATTGGATGATCGTTCATGCACATCCTGAACAGCCCTAAAATAGCTCCAAACGCGCTTTGCTGCACATTCACACCGTCAGAATCTAGAGTTCGGGTTCGACCTGATCTCTAAGTGAACAAGAATCAGGATGTTGGAAACGCGTGGGAACTAGCGAACGTGTGAGCCATCCAAAACATCCTGTGCTTGTCTCATGCGAATTCAGACACAGTTCCTTCCGTATATATACACTCATAAGTGTATTATTTTACGTTAATGATATGTATATTACATTTTCGTATTTATATTGTCTCGTACATCCATAAATATAACCTTCCTTCAGAGCATCACGTGTTGTTTCATTTTTCAAAAGTAAAATGATGTCAAGTCTTAACTCATAGAATCAATCAACATGATTCAAATCAAGAAATTATAATATATATATATATATATATATATATTTATAAGAGAGAGAGAAAGAGAGAGAGAGAAGAAAAAAATGAAAAAAAATAAAAATAAAAATAAAAACGAGGATGTATGTGCAAGTGTGAGAATGATTGGAGACAAGTTGATTTTTGGTATTTTGTGTAATTACTTTTTATTAATTTTGTGCAAGTAAATTAATAACATTCAGTTCAACATTCTCAATTTTCATATCTACATTATTGTTTATAAAAAATATCATTTGAACTATTTTAGACTTTAATAATTGTAAAGTAACTCAAATTGTAGAAATTTTTGTAGAATTTTTTTTGAAAGAAGAGATTTTTATAATTACTTGTATCATTTAAGTAAATAAAAATTAGGAAAAATAAACTATAAGGATAACATCAAAGAAGCTTTTTAATTGTACTATCTGGATACAGACGCATTCTACAATTTGAACACTTACTTCACAATCTTTGTAGTTTTTAGATATTGAATAATTTTTTAATAAAATAAATTACTTTCTTTAATATTTTGAAGGGCTTTACAAGTAATCAATGTATTTGTTAAATTGTTAATGCTCAATCCTTCCATCCTTCCTTCCTTCCTTCCTTCCATTTATTTATTTATTTATAAAGAACACTGTTAGACCCAAGAATATTATATCCTTGGTAGAAACTAAATAAATAAAGAAAGGATGAATAAATTTAATTGTTATATTTTTGTTTCATTTACAAATGGATGTGACAATATGATATATGTTAAAACATCTAGTTTTTGTTCTTGTTTTCCAAAGATTTCATTTGAAATGTGGGAACGTCAAGGAACAAGTGGAGTTTGTGTCCCCACAACAGAACCAAAGAGGTGTTTTAATTTCTTTCCCTGGCATGTACTTATGTGCACTTACATACTCAAATATACACATATTTTATGTTATTATAATAATATATATTTGTTATTAAATTTATGTAACTTTTGATTGTTACAATGATTATGTTGTAAAAATATGACTTATGCAAACATTTTGACTTAAGTATTTCGAAATAAGAATAATGTCATATCTGTATGTAATAAAAATATATACTTTTTATAAATACACACACAAACACACACACACACACATATATATATATATATATATATATGTGTGTGTGTGTGTGTGTGTGTGTGTAATTTCAAATTTGAATGATTTAACTAAACCTACTAAACAAGTGAGAGAAATACAATTGTATAACCATCTTCTATATGATTACATTAAAGAAGATCAATCACACATCATTGTGTTAAAGAATTCTCATAAAATCTCAATCAGCAATTTTTTCTCTACATTTGAAAAAAAAAAAAAAAGAAGTACCGAATTCCAAATGTTTGAGCCTAATACATAATTCAATCTAATGAGGTGATAATTTTCAAAGCCTACATTTGTATAGCCACCCGGATTAACTTGTAGAGCTATTACATTTATAATTTATTCAGTGTAAAGTATCATTTTCAGTACCCTCCATACAGATACTCCAAAGCTTACTATTATTGTAGAAATTGTTATTGATTTAAAAGTAAACGAAGAAGCAAAAATCATTTTAGATACAAACCAGTTTGATGGAGAGAGGTGCAAGAGCGAAGGATGAAAGTAGAGATCACCATCCAACGAATCGACGAATGAAGAATGGAAGCTTCAGGGGATAGTCCCGGAGTCTGCGAGGGTTTCGAAAAAGACGCGTTCACACAGCGGAGGGGGGCTGAAGCCCCACGTGGCGGCGTCAGGAGAGTCTCGAGACAATCGGCGAGGCCCTCCATTGCTGTGCCGGGGATGGGCAAGATTGCTGTTTTCTCGATTCGGGGAGGGGCATGGTGTGTAGGAGATCATCGCAGCTTTCTATTCTCCCCCCAGGACCATGCCCTTTCCATTCCCCACTCACGCATTTCATTCTCCGCCCGCGCAGCAGAGGTTCAATTCAAGGCTGCCGGGAATCTTTCCCGTCGACTTTCCAATTTTCGCCTCCGACTTTGCCGATTCTTCGAAACAGAACCTCTCACAGTGAATCCTAGTGAATGCTCCTCCTCCACATGCTTTTTGTTTGCTTTGTTGGGTTGTTTTTACATAGAACTGTGCATAGTTTGTTCTATCAGTTCCCTGCACACTAGCGAGAGATTCTCATCGTCGCTCATCTCGCGAAATGCTCTCTCTCTATTCTAGCCACGAACGTTTTATCGATTGATCAGTTTTGCATGATCCTTCATTTGTCATGCCAGTCTTGTCATCATTCCCATCTCTTGGTTCAGGCCGAGTATGAGCATCGACTTTGCGTAACGCTGAGCATTTTGTTTAGTCTAACATTGTTGCGGAGATTTGTGGTCTGGGGCTGAAGTCGATGCATCTGTGTTTCGATCCTTGGAGACACCGAGCTCTTGTTTGTCGCATCGCCACCATGTTTGCGGTTGTTTGTGCTTCATCGCGGAAGAGCCTGCATTAATGTCTACTTGGAGTTTGGCCGGATACTTTTTATTGGTTGTTAGTATTGTTTTCAATTTGTGATTAGTTGGTTAATGCTCCTTCTTAGGAGAACTATTGGTAATGAGCATGTGATGAAATGTGGTTGATGGATGAATACTTCTCATTCAATTGAAAAGAATTTAAAAACAAAATAAGTTAGTTAATTTTGTAGACGGCAAAATATTGTGAAATACAATATTACTAAATAAAAAATTGTATACCAAAGTACAAATCAAAGACCAAAAATAAGATGCAAAATGGTTTAGTACAAAATAAGCACAGAAAAATACATGATGCTTGGAAGGAAGAAGGAAAGAAATTAAATAAATAAATAAAACTAATTATTCATCTTTCATGATTTGGTTGCATGCATGCATATATAAATATAATTTTTTTTTTGGTTGTGTAGTTTAAAACTCGCAAGTGAAATGAGATAATCTTCAAGGCTTTTGCTTTACAATTTCTATCTTGCATACTTTAGTTAAACTGTACTACGAATAATCTTCTTTGTGATAAAAATTACAGTGCAGTAAAGGAAAGACCAAAAGGTGGATGAAAACAGGAGTTAATTGATGGCCATTGTTTTCTCATAATTTAAAAACAACAGAAACGAAAAAAAGGATGTTTCATAAAAACTCTAAAAGCATGATGCCACCAATTTCTTAACACTTCAAGCATAAAAACTTCAGGTATTGAAAAAAAAAAAAAAAAAAAAAAAAAAAAAACAGATTATCAACCAAAATTACAACAAATTCTTCTTCTGGTTTCTAGTAAATCTATGACAATGTGAGAGAGGCTTCAACACTTCAGTTTTCGCAACAAACACGACGTCATTAGAGTTGTTTCTTCTGCTTTCGTGTCGTGTTGTGACGTTTGCCATGGATTTCAGTCTTAATGCTCGGTTGAACCCGTAACAAAATGACCCATCTAACCTTCATTACATAAAACGTCGAGGTATACAACAATGACATCAACTTTGCACGCATCCTGTAAGAAGCCAACAAACAAGCTGAACTTATCCCCGAATCTCATGTTCTTTGTAAAATGTTAAACTTTGCTGTGAACCATCTAGCTATCGATCTAGATGTCAGGAACAGTCGATGGAGCAAGGTACGCAGATTTAGACCACCAACATCGACCTCATGAATGTTTCAAGGTGGATTGATCTAGTCGCAGCTTCGACGCTCATTGCAACTGTAATACCTGCTGTTCGCTGGATCGACACATGTGGTG